AAAAAAGAAAAAAAAAGAAGTAATATACCCATGACTATGGACTCGATTGTTGCATACATGATACATGTATGGAGTGATTGTTCAAGTTCCACGTAGAGTTTACCTTACATCACAAGATAGAGCTATTTATGACTATCAACAGCTGTATGCATCTAGAAAAATCATTTACAAATGGCTAATGACACGTCACTATTGCAGGGAAGCTTTATTGGATCCATACCTCTCCAAGTATTCTGTTATTATTGTTGATGAGGCGCACGAGCGAACTATACACACTGATGTATTGCTTGGCTTGTTAAAGAATGTACAGAAAGCAAGGTCAAAGTGTATTAGCGAAGCAGTAAATACTGATCATAATAACTCTAATAACGGGCATGCCTCGGAGGGAAGGATTGACAATCAGAATGATGGTATTTTGAAGCCATGTCAAGCGAAAAAGTATCACCCATTGAAATTGATCATCATGTCAGCCAGTCTGGATGCACGAGTTTTCTCAGAGTACTTTGGTGGTGCAAGAGCTGTTCATGTTCAGGGACGGCAGTTTCCTGTCGATATATTCTACACCCATAAGCCAGAGACAGATTGCATAGATGCAGCTTTGATTACTATATTTCAGGTTTCTACTATATTTCCTACTAACTTTGGCTTTTTCCCATAGCTTACTTTAATGTTTCTTAGTGTTGGGAGTTAAATTATTTAAGATTATAGTTTGTGGTGTTGCTGGATGTCTTATTATCTGTTTATCTCTTTCTAACTTGTTTTGCTAGATACATCTAGAGGAGGGTCCTGGTGATATACTTGTATTCCTCACTGGCCAAGAAGAGATTGAATCCGTTGAGAGGCTTATCCATGAACGCCTCCGACAGTTACCTGAATGCAATAGGAAGCTCTTAACTTTTCCCATATACTCGTCGCTTCCCTCTGAGAAGCAAATGAAGGTTTTCATGCCTTCACCAGCTGGATATCGTAAGGTTGATTTGTTTCTTTGGATAGCTTATTTGTTGATGTTTGAGATGGATGTATCCATTGCTTTGTCTTTATCTGGGGGTGCAATTAGGTCTCTCTGTGTGAAAACATGACTTAAATGAACTTTTATGGAACTGCTCAGAAGATAATTTAACAATTGAGGGCTATATCCTCTGTTTTAAAAAAAAAAACTTAAACTTGAAATCGTCTTTGCATCTACCTGTCTGAAAATTCAAAGTCGAGTTGCAGTTTTTAAAGGAATAATCCACTTGCCAAAACACAGATACTAAATTGAAATGAATGCTGGAAAACAAGGTTCATCGCTCTACTTCATGCGACATTTATATGCTTTAGCGGGTAATCCAGTGATTGTTTCTGAATTCGTTCCATTACTTTTACATAAACATAGTATACATATGAGTATCATGGTCCTAGAAATGTTTGTGTTTCACGTAGATTCCATGGTTTAACTTGCAGGATTATCTAGATAAGTGGTGATGATAGCACAGGACAAGCAAATCTTTAATGGCTAGATTACATAGATCCTTCATCTACCTTCTTGTAAATGTGTCGAATGGATGTCATATTGATGTGTGATATTTAGTGTGATTCTTCAAATACACCACAAAAACTACAAGTATCCGTGCCGTGGTGCCAGAAATTTGCACTTGTATCAGAGTCCTTGTAACTTATATTAAGCGGATATATCTCAGTTGGGGATAAACATATGGGTCAATTTTGTTCTCTGGAACACCTTATGGGTGGTCTGTTGTTAGTGTTTCCGATATTTTTTTTCTTGGTTGAGTTTATACAGGTGCATCCCTTTTTTCACTATTTTTATAAACTTTTATCTACCTCAATAAAAATATATGAAATTAATACCTGACTTAAAGAAGGCATTCGTTTGGTTATCTCCATCATGAGGGAAATAAAGTTTGGTTATATGCTAGCTTGTAGCCTTGTGCTTGTTGCAATATGGACTTAACATTGTGAATGTGCATCTGTTTATTGTTTGACTGTTTTATGATAAGGCCTACAAGTTTTTGATACAATATCTCTGGTATGCTTGACATGAAGTTTTCAAGGCTGAAAATATTTGGTATTTGCTCTGAGTTGGCAAGCTATGTACATTAAACCCAGATTTTAATTCTTTCATGTGGTGTTTAGGTGATACTGGCAACAAATATTGCTGAGACATCAGTGACAATACCTGGAATTAAGTATGTTGTTGATCCTGGACTGGTGAAAGCACGAACTTATGATCCTAAGATGGGAGTTGATTCGTTGATCATTGTCACAACGTCTAAAGCTCAAGCTCTGCAAAGGAGGTAGGGTGTTTGCAAGTGCATTCAAATCACAGTACACATGTTGGCTAAAACACCTTTCCTCCACTAACTTTAGAAACATTCTTTGTCCAGCTTTTATACAATATGATGATGGTTTGAACCATAATTTCCTTCTTACTTTGCAATGTTCTAAGGAAGAGCATACACCAATAAGTCCTCGTATGCATGTCACATTCATATTTGACATGTGGGATAGGCTAGGTATCTGTACCGGGATGTACTTATGATTCGAAGATTTTTTTATCTTGGATCAGTATCCACTACTTAGATACAGGTATCCTTCAAAGGGCCCACTTAATAATGATGAGACCAACATAGGAAATAGAAGGATTGTTATTGGAAGTGTATGTTTTATTCGAAGCAGAGAATCGTTTTTCTTTCTGGTAATAGATAGAAGCTTAAAATTTTAAAATCTCAACAAATGGAAGTTAAGCTTATTCTTTCCATTTGCCTAACCTTTGGTGGGCAGAGTTTGGTGGGAGGTAGGAGGTACCGGAATAATCAAGGTGTGCGCAATCTGGCCCTAAACAATCTTTACAAAAAAGAAACAAAGTTAAACCTTAAATATTCCGAGTGCACCCTCTAAAGTAAAATCCATCGGAGGATGGTCACTGATAAGTGGAGCGAATGCAGTAGGATTTATATATACAGGAGTGAAATGGATAACAGACCTTTGCTCTATTTTGGTTATATTGTCTGTTAAGTATCAGATCAAGGGCTAATTTCTTGAATTTTTTATAGTGGACGTGCAGGACGTGAAGGACCTGGGAAATGCTATCGCCTCTATCAAGAAAGTTTCTTTGAGAAACTCACAGATTCTACATTACCTGAGATTAAGAGATGTGATCTTTCAAATGTTGTATTGCAGCTCAAAGCTCTAGGCATTGATGATGTCATTAATTTTGACTTCATCGAAAAACCAGACAGGTGAGTAACCCAATCAGAGAGACTAGTTTTTCGGTGCATTTTGCAAGTGTAATTTGGCTATCAGCATCTATGGTGCTTTTTCTTCAAATCCTTACTCCCCAACTTTGTCCTCTAGTCTGGTACTAATATTTTCATGACTTAAGTTTGTCGGGCACGTGTTTGACCATTCGTTTGCATCTATCTCTAGCCTGGTGCTAGTATATTGTTTCACTACACATAGGTTTCTTAATTTTGCTAACTTCTATGTATTAGAAACCATTATATGATTTGTTAAATTAATGAAGCACTAGGGGGAGAACATCCGTCCTATAAACCTGCATTTTCCGTGTGACACTGTTTCGAAGCGTCATCAGTATCCTTGAAATCTACTCTATTTGCTAGAAAATCCTTGCGTCTCCTTATAAAATTATTTTATAAAATATCCCTCCACCAAGTGATCCTACAGTTTATAAGAAGAGAAGAAACTAGAAATTTACTGGACAACTGCCTAACATTTATTCTGCCGCTTCCTTTATGGAGCAGAGTGTTGCACCATCTGATGATGCAGTCATTGAGTGCTTGGATGTTGCTGTGGAGTTAATTTTTCATCCTTTTGAGAAAATATTGTTTTCATCTTTAACTATAGCTTCTTCGTTGGTTCTCTTTGGACAGGACTGCCATAGTCAACTCACTGTGGTCTCTCTACTTGTTGGGTGCTGTAACAGAAGAGAATAAACTTTCAGATGTTGGATATCAAATGGCCAAGCTACCACTTGATCCAGTCTATTCTAAGGCTCTCATTGTTGCTAGCCAATTCGGCTGCTTGAAAGAAATGTTGATCTGCGTTGCGATGCTCTCAGTGGAATCTATATTCTATGCTCCACGTGAAAAGTTGGAAGAGGTAGTCCTTTGTGCTACTAGTTGTGATTCATCCCCATTTTCCCTTTCTGTTTCTGTGTTGAAATATTTCTTTAAAAGTTCTATTTGATGAAAAACAATTAACTTAGTTATCAACAATTACAATATTTTGCAAACTTTTGGGATATACATGAAAAATTGAAAACTACATCTCAATGAGTTCCTATCTACGAAGTTCATCCAATTATCTGCATGTTGGAATATCTTGTGTGCTCAAGAGATAGTCAAAGATAATAACATGGTTCATAGTATTGTAGCAAAGTTCTTTCGTTCTTTTTATAAGTCCAACGTGTAAAATTGTTTTATCATTCTGAGGCTTCCAGCTGTTAAGTTAGTATCCTGTTGTCAAGTATTATCTCTGTGTTATCTCTCAACTTAACATTCACCTCGAATTTGTTGATGTGTTGCACCATTTCTGACATGTAATGTTAATAGAAAACATAGTCTGAACAATTTTACTTGTTTTTGCCAGTCACGAAATGCGTTGAAAAGCTTTGCAAGTCCAGATGGGGATCATTTGACTTTGCTTAATGTATACCGCGCTGCTGATGAGTTCTTTCAGAAGAACAAGACGGTAAATAGTGAAGAAAAGGCTGAAAAGAATCTTAGAAAATGGTGCAAGGATAATTATATAAACAGCCGCTCTCTAAAACACGCTCGTGATATCCACAGGTGGGCATATGTTCTTGCAAAATTATTGAAAATCTGTTCTTATGTATTCTTATACTTAGGCAAATGTGATGCCTTAGCTTCTTCTTCTTCTTCTTCTCTCATTTGCCCGGGTCCTCAAACATGTGATTTATTTAAGCTTTCTACTTATTTTGCAGTCAAATTCTGAGGAATGTAGAACAAATGGGTCTTCGTGTCACGTCTTGTGAAGACGATATGCTTCTCTTCCGCAGATGTCTTGCAGCCTCGTTTTTCCTTAAAGCAGCTATGAAGCAGCCTGATGGTGTATACAGGTAAAGATTTGTGGTTTTATCTGTATGTATAATTGTATTTATATATTTAACTTTTTAAACAAAGGCAACTTTGACATATTATCTATACGTTCCTTTGGTATCTGACATTCATTTTATCCACTCGCAGGGTCACATTAAGTGGTTTGATAGTGCAAATACACCCGTCTTCTGTCTTGTTCCGAGCAAAGCCAGAGTGTATAATTTTTAATGAATTAGTCCATACTAATCATAGTTATGTTCGCAATGTTTCAAGAATCGATTACTTGTGGCTAATTGAGCTGGCTCCACACTTGTATGCCTTGCAAGACTAAAGGTCTTTACTGCCAGATTATTTATATCGGTAAGATATCCGTTCTTTTTCATTGTCATATATTCTGCCTACTCTGGTGTTCAAGTTGGAAGTAAAGGAGAAGGAAACATTTGAAGTTCCGACCTTTAGTTTGTTCCAACTTTATTTAAGCCTCTGGCATGTAAATATTTGACAAGAGTATGTCTCTGATGTCGACCGATTCTCAGTTCCAACAGCCTGATGAGATCTGTCTGCGGTATTGTATATGACATTACATTTCCTCATTTGTATGCTGCGAAAATCATCGTCAGTAGACGTTTTTTGCTTTGGAGGGAGACTGTCCGCAAGTGCTAAATGCAGGATTGAAGCGATGAATACATATACGCAGGCGCCATGTTTATCTTGACAAGGTTGTTGAAGCTGGAGAAGTGTTCATGATCTTTAGCAGACTCTCCAGCTTTTATTGATGCAGCGGTGTCGCTGGTTATCGATTTTTTCGGGTGGGAACGTCTGAATACTTGAGCAGAAGCTAGCTTTTTTGGATCTACTGCTGGATAAATACCTTTGGCAGCCAATCCTCTTGATAGTACGATAGTAGCATCTATATGTGCAAATGTCGTAGCAGGACCAAGGTCGGTCAAATCGTATGCGGGTTTTTCTTTCCGTTGAAAATCGATCTTACTCTATCTTTCCTGAGCCGAGGGTCTTCCGGAAACAACCTCTCTACCTTCTTAAAGTAAGGGTAAGGTCTACGTGTACTCTACCCTCCCTAAACCCCATTAGTGGGATTACACTGGTCTGTTGTTGAAAATCGATTTTACGGTATAGATGCTTATGACCTCCCACTCTATGCCTTGCGGTAATGATTCCTCCGACATTAGGATCTTATGTAACTGCTTTGTAGAGCGCTTTATCCTTCTTAGTGGTTTGGATTAGTCGGGCAAGCAAGTTTCAGATACTTGATGTCAAAAAATAGTCTGCATATTAGCTGTACTAATGGAGTTGTATTGCCAACTTTCATATATTTATTTATCTATATAACGCAAAATGTGAAAATTGTATTCTTGTTAGTGGTTTTCACCAAAACATAATCTTTTGAATTTTCTGTCTTTTGATTATGATAATGTGAACGTCAAAGAAAGACGAGAAAAAGGTCTCAGTCGCAGTCAATCACAATAAACAAAGAGCACTAACTTTTAGGCTTTTAGCCACTTTCTTTATTCTTTACATAGACGGAGGAAAGCATTTACTATCAAAGACAATCTTTTATTACCTCTGCCAAAACAAGTTAAAAGAAATTAACAGTGTAAACATTTTTAACGCTGTTATGTGAAAGTCTAAATCCTAGATTAATATTATTATTTATTTAATTTTACAAATTTCAAAAATTAAAATTCATTAATTATCTAAATTTTAAACTTCGTGGGGTGTTCTTTATCAAATTAATATCTTATTGTAAATAGAGAAGGGGAAACATAGAGCAACGGTAAAGTTGTCTGTGTGGCCTATATGTCAAGGGTTCGAGTCGTGAAAATAATCACTAATACTTGTATTAGAGTAGGCTGTTTACATCATAGTAGGTTGTTTACATCATACCTCTTGATGGGGCCCTTTCTCAAATCCTGCATTAGGGCAAGCTGTTTACATCACACCTCTTAGGTTGCGACCCTTCCCCGGGATCCGAGGGATGCCTTGAGCACAGAGGCGGATGTAACCCTACAACACCGGGTTCAATTGCACCCAAAACTTTCAACGCGGAGTACAAATTTATGTGTAAAATATCATCAAAATCGCAATAAATTATAGATATGAACCATAATTTTAGGATATAATGAGTTCAATACTAAAAATCTTAAAAGTTGAACCCATAGAGTTTAAATTTTGGATCCGGCTCTGGTCGTGCTGCTTTTTTGTACTCTTGTAAATGGACAAAGGGACGAATAAACTCATTATTAAGCGCGTAAGTATCAAACTTAGTATAACAATTTTTTGAACAATTTTTTGGTAGAGTATTTCATAGCTCCAACCAGGTGTATTTTTTTAAGAGGAGGAAAGAAATATCCCACTAAATTCCAAATAATACAACACATTTTCTAATTCAAAGGTCAAAATTGTACTACTGCATGTTATGAATATATTTTTCTCTTTCCACACTCCTTTCCAAAACCAGCTTTCCTATTGACAACAATTTCTTGGAAATTTCACTTTCTTTTAACAACTTTCCATTCCTCCTACTCCTACCTTAACATATAGTATAAACATTTATATTAAGCCTTATTTCATCCACGTTCAAGAAAATTAAACCGCGGTGTATTGTTGTCAACTCATATATATATATAGTCGCACATACCAGCAACAAGACGACTATCTAAATTTCAAATGGGCAATTCATTAGCATGTTTTTCTGAGAAAAATCAAGCTACAAAAGTTAGAAAAAGCAACAAAAATGGAAGATCATTCAATGGTAATGTTCCTCCTCCATGTATCTCAAGATCAACGAGTCGAAAATCGGATAGAATTTATCCAAATTCTTTGAGATTTGATCAGGGTAAATGTGATGATGATTTTATTAGAGAACAAGCTCGAGTTGCTGCAGCTTTATTACTACAACATCATCAACAAAATGGAACACTTAGTCAATTTGAACGTTCAGTTTCTCTTAGAGACAATTTAACTTCCTCTAGGAAGCAAAGTAGGATTCCTAGAAGCTCGAGTTGTCGTGCCAGATCTCTCTCTGATTCAATTCCTCAGCATCTGGAGCTTCTTAATCAGGTTTGTCTTTCTATATTTGCTCCAAAATATTGGTAATTTACACTTTTCAAGGGTCAGGCAGACCTAGGATTTGAAGTTCGTAAGTGCACTTTTTGATTCAACCAAAATCTACTTTGTATATAGGGTGTCCACTACTAATATATCGATATTTTTAAAAAATATATACTTATATACATAAAAAATGGATTTGTCGTTTTAGTTTCTGTCATTTGTATTTTTTTTGCCGGAAATTTGATCTTCGGGTCATTTGTATTCGCTGAGTAATTCACACATAACTCAGTTACTTTAATATGATAAAAAATATTTCGTGACTTTAGTGTTATAGCGGATAAAAGTCAGTTGCTTTAACGCAATAAAAAGTAGTTTTGTGACTTTACTATACTAGGTTAGAGGATAAAGTTCAGTAACCATACCTGAAATTAGTTCCAATACGCTAAATGACAATCAGAAATTGGGCAGCCCGGTGCATAAAGCATCCCGCGTCCAGGGAAGGGCTGCACCCTAAGAGGGCATGATGTACGCAGCCTACCTGATGCAAGCACTAGTGGCTGATTCCACAGCTCGAACCCGTGACCTATAGATCACACGGAGGCATTTATACCGTTGCTCCAAAGCTCCCCTTCAAATGACAATCAGAAACTACATGAATAATACTGTAGGATAAAGAAAATTTCCCTCAAAATATTCAGAAGTAGTTTAGCTGTAGTTTAATGTAGAAAGGTGACTCTTTGCAATGTGAAGAGTAATAATAAAGAAAATTTTCTACATTGTTTTATAAGCAGTAATATTTCTGGGCAGTATACATAGAATAGATATATGATAACATGTTTTTGATCTTTTTCAGGGTACAAATGTTGAAAATTTGAAGAATAAACATTTTGTTCTTGTACATGGAGGTGGTTTTGGTGCATGGTGTTGGTACAAAACTACAACACTACTCAAAGAAGCTGGATATCAAGTTGATGCTATAGACTTAACTGGTTCTGGTGCACATTTCTTTGACTCCAACAACATTACTACTCTGTCACAATATGTAAAACCTCTCACTGATTTCCTTGAAAATCTCGACGATGGCAAGAAGGTTTGATATCTTGGCTTCGGTTTTCTTAATATCTTGTATTGTTATTATTTGCTGTCAGTGATTCTTTCATCTTTTTTTTAGCTGAGGGTTTATCGGAAATCGTCTCTGTGCCCTCCCAGGGTGGGGTAAGGCTGTGTACATCCTGCCCTCCCCAGACCCCACTTGTGGAAATCCACTGGGTTGTTATTATTGTTGTTGTTGTACGTTCAGATATTGACAAAAAAATGATCTTTTCTTATGCAGGTCATATTAGTCGGGCACGATATAGGGGGAGCTTGTATTTCTTATGCAATGGAATTGTATCCATCAAAAGTTTCTGTAGCAATTTTTGTTGCTGCAGCAATGCTGAAGAATGGACAGAACATACTCGATATGTTCTCCGTACAGGTTGGTTACATTAATTATACGAAGATTATTAGTTATATGTATGATTTAATACCATAAACCAAACACAGTATAAGCGAGACAGAAGTTTAAATGGATATTAAATTTGCTAATTTGCAGCTTGGATTGAACAATCTATGTCAACGCGCTCAAGTTTTTCGCTATGCAAATGGGAAGAATAATCCTCCAACTGCTATAGATTATGACAAGACATTACTCAAGGAGGTGTTATTCAATCAAACACCAACTAAGGTATTGATTGAGTTATATACATTGCTAAAGAAACATTTATGTATTTCTCTGATCCTATGTTATGCTGCGACTATGCTGGCCCGAGCCGGTGGTTTTTCGAAAACAACCTCTCTACCTGCACAAGGTAGGGGGTACGGTCTGCGTACACAATATACTCCTCTGACCCCACTTGTAGGATTCCACTGAGTTTGTTGTTGTCGTTGTTTCTTTCCAATTTTGTCTCATTGTGATAGAGAAAGGTGTTTTAATTTTGACATTTTGCTATTAATTTCAGGATGTTGAATTAGCATCACTATCAATGAGGCAAGTTCCCTTTGGACCACTAACAGAGAAGCTTTCACTTTCTGCAACAAATTATGGTTCTATTCCAAGATTTTATGTCAAAACACAAGATGATTTTGCAATTCCTTCATCTCTTCAAGAAGTTATGATAGATTCAAATCAACCTGAACAAGTTTTCCAGATTAAAGGCTCCGATCATTCGCCTTTTTTGTCGAAACCTCAATCTCTCCACAAGATTTTTGTAGAAATTTCCAATATTCCTCCAAAAATAAATCTCAAAACCACCTAAATAAAGATGTATAATAGCCAATATGATTCTTTTTCCATGACATATTCCTATATATGTACATAATAAATATATGATCATCACACATATATAGCATGAAATCTTTTTTGTGAAATTCCCAATTTTCATCATATTCTTTCTTTTTTTTTTCTTCCGAGAAGGGCAGCCTTAGCGTAACTAGTAAAGTTGCTGCCATGTGACTAGATGGTCATGGGTTCGAGCCGTGAAAACAACCTCTTGGAGAAATGTAGGGTAAGACTGCGTATAATAGACCCCGCGGGAGCTGAGTGCGCTTCTCCAAGAGGCTTATCAAGAATGAAAAGTGAGAAAAGTCGTCTTATGTAACTCTGTAACACTTAATGTTTGATCATATTATCTAATGAGTATAGCACGAATGATTCATATAGCGGACTCCAACTTTTGTATCTTTGTGAAGAAACATACCCTCTTTTATTCATATTACTACAATAGTTTGAAAATGTTCTAACGAGGAAAACAATCATGATAACACGCGCAAAGGCGAATAGCAGAGCCAGGAATTTTTTCACAATAAGCAACAGGATGAAGTCCATTGTAGTCATTACGACACTGCTTCCAGCAACAATCTTTGTTGCAGTACTTCTGGTTGCAGGGACCTAACTGAGCCAAGCACTGATACTGTGGCTTGCCGTGTGATTCAGGTAATATTTTACGAACTTCTCCCTCTTCGCCTACTCGTGTGGGCGCCTTCGCCATGTTGGTAGCTGCTACTTTACCTATGAAGAAAAAAAAAAAAATCATTAGCTAACCATAAGATGAATAAGGTTACAAGAGTGAGATAAAGTTAGCTCAACTAGTGTGATGTTCAAAAGCGGATTTGAGACGGTTTGTGTGGCTTCAAATAAATTCATTGTTTTCAGCTTGAGCTACATATAGATGTATGAAAAATATTACTATATATTATACATATAATAAAATCACATTTATTTTGAATCCGTTAGTTCTAGGTCATGCATGTATTCACC